GTTAAAAATACTATAAACAACTCTATTCTAACAAACTAGACAACATGGAGGAAATGGACACATTCCTAGAAAAATACAATCTTCCTAAAATCACTCAGTAAAATTCTAAAATCTCAATAGGCTGATAACTATGGAAGAAATTGAAACAGTTATCAAAAAGCTTCCAGCAAACAAAAGCCCGGCGCCAGAAGGCTTCACAGGGGAGTTTTACCAAACATTCAAAGAAGAACTAAAACCTGTCCTCTTCAGACTATTCCAAAAAATTCAAGAGGAAGGAACACTTCCAAACTCCTTCTATGAAGCCATCACCCTAATACCAAAACCAGATAAAGACAACACAATGAAAGAGAATTACAGGCCAATATCCCTCATGAACATAGATGCCAAAATCCTCAACAAAATTCTAGCAAATCAGTGCCAGCAGTACATCAGAAAGTTCATACACCATGATCAAGTAGGATTTATCCCAGGGATGCAAAGATGGTAAAATATTCGCAAATCAATAAACGTGATACATCATATAAACACATTGAGAGATAAAAATCACATAGATCAATTGATGCAGAAAAAGCATTTGACAAAATCCAACATCTTTTCTTGTTAAAAACCCTCAGCAAGATGGGAATAGAAGGATCTTACCTCAACATAATAAAAGCCATATATGACAAACCCACAGCTAACATCATACTCAATGGGAAAAAACTAAAACCGTTTCTCCTAAGAACAGGAATAAGACAGGGATGTCCACTCTCACCACTCCTATCTACATAGTGCTGGAAGTACTAGCCATTGCGATCAGACAAGAAGAAGAAATAAAAGGCATCCAAATTGGAAAAGAAGAAGTAAAACTGTTCTTACTTGCAGATGACATGATACTGTACATAGAAAACCCTAAAGACTCCATAAAAATTATTAGACTTAATAAATAAATTCGGCAATGTAGCAGGATACAAAATTAATGCCAAGAAATCTATGGCATTTCTATACACCAATAATGAACTTACAGGAAGAGAGACTATATAAGCAATCCTATTTACCATCGCACCAAAAAAATTAAGATACCTAGGAATAAACTTAACTAAGGAGGTAAAAGACCAAATGCAGAAAACTACAGGACTTTGAAAAAAGAGATAGAGGAAGACATAAACAGATGGAAGAACATACCATGTTCATGGGTTGGTAGAATCAACATCATCAAAATGTCCATATTACCCAAAGCAATCTATAGATTCAATGCACTTCCCATTAAAATACCAACGGCATATTTCACAGACCTAGAACAAATTCTCCAAAAATTCATCTGGAATAAAAAAAGACCCCCAATAACTACAGCAGTCCTGAGAAAGAAGAAAAAAATAGGTGGTATCTCATACCAGATATCAACCTGTATTACAAAGCCACTATTCTCAAAACTGCCTGGTACTAGCACAAGAATAGACATATAGATCAATGGAATACAATAGAGAACACAGAAATTGACCCAAACCACTCACTATGCTCAATTAATATTTGACAAAGGAAGCATGAACATACAATGGAGTCAAGACATTCTCTTCAATAAATGTTGTTAGGAAAATTGGACAGACACATGCAAAAAAATGAAACTAGATCACCAACTTACACCATACACAAAAATAAACTAAAAATGGATCAAGAACTTAAACATACAATGGGAAACCATAAAAATACTAGAGGAATCTACAGGCAGCAAAATCTCAGACATATGCTGAAGCAATTTCTTCACTGATATTGCTCCCAGGGCAATGGAAACTAAAAAGAAAATAAACAAACAGGACTACATCAAAATAAAAAACTTTTTAAAAGCAAAAGAAACCATCAACAAAACAAGAAAGTCCACTATATGGGAGAACATATTTGACAATGATATCAACAATAAGGGTTTAATCTCCAACATTTACAGGGAACTCATACAACTTAACAAAAGGAAGATAAACAACCCAATCAAAAAATGGGCAACTGACCTAAACAGATACTTTCAAAAGAAGACACAAGGAAGGCCAACAGACATATGAAAACCTACTCAAAGTCACTAATCATTAGAGAGATGTAAATAAAAACAACAATGTAGTACCATCTCACACCTGTCAGAATAGCAATCATCAACAAATCAACAAACTAACAAGTGCTAGTGAGGATATGGAGAAAAAGAAACCCTTATGCACTGCAGATTGGTGCAGCCACTATGGAGAACAGTATGGAATTTCCTCAATATACTAAAAATGGAACTCCCCTTTGAGCCAGTGATCCCACTTCTAGGAATATATCACAAGAAACTAGAAACTAGAAACTAGAAACTAGAAACATGAGTCAGAATTGTGCCTATGTTCATAGCAGCACAATTCACCATAGCTAAGATTTGGAAACAGCCTAAGTGCCCATCAGCAGATGAGTGGATTAAAAAACTATGGTACATCTACACAATGGAATACTGCGCTGCAGTAAAAAAGGAGTTCTTACCATTTGTAACAACATGGATGGAGCTGGAGAGCATTATGCTAAGTGAAATAAGCCAGACAGAGAAAGATAAATATCACACGATCTCACTAATTTATGGAATATAATGAACAACATAAACTGATGAACAAAAACAGATCCAGAGACAGAGAAACATTGATCAGAATGTCAAACCTCAGGGAAGGTATGGGACAATGGGGGTAAGGGGGAGAGATCAACCAAAGTATTTATAGGCATACACATAAGCCTAATCAATGGACACAGACAACAGGGGGGTAAGGGCATGAATGGGAGGGGGATAGGGGGGTAATGATGGAATAAGGACACATACGTAATACCTTAATCAATAAAGAAATTAAAAAAAAAGAATTAAAGGATCAATAATCCCACATCTAAGCATCTGGATATTTAAATGAAAGAATAGGGAAAACAAAGGGGAAATAAGTTATAAAAGAAATTACATAAGAAAAATATTCAGAACTAAAGGATTAAAGTTTTAAAAATCAGATTTAAACCACCTGTCAAATGACCTACATGAGTATAAGGAGAAAAAAAACAAAACAAAACACACACACACAAAAACTACATCGAGAAACATTATCAAGAAATTTCTGATCAATGGGAATAAGGAGAAGATTTTAAAGCTTCCAGGAAGAAAATCTATCACATGTTAGCAACTGGACATCTGAAGGAAATCAGGCTTCTCAAGAGCAACAATGGCAACAAGAAGCAACAGGGTCTTTACAATCGAGAGAAAATTGTTTCCAAACCTGCCAAAGTATTGTCTGTTTTGTTGCTTACTGGCTGGGTGGCTTGGCAATTTGGACAGCTTTTCTGTGTGATTTGATGGCAAAGTTGAAAAGTGAAAAGGGGCAAAGGCTGATGCCTACCAGACATGAGGACAAAAGGAAAAGCCAAGTTTTGTTAAATTTTCTTCTCATCCTTTCTCTCTGCAGGGCAAACACAAAATCTGTTGCACAGAATTATCTGTTGTAGAAAATTCTTTAAAACCAGATTTTACATTTCCATGTACCAGAATATGGACATAGCTTTGTGACAGAATCTTCCTTTATAATGATAGTCCTGCAGGGCTCAGCAAAAGGTTAAGTGATATGCATCCTTCCTGCATTCATTCATTCGATAAATGATTACTGAGTGCAGAGGTTACAGCAGTGGATGCTACAGCGTTCTGGTAGGTTACAAATGTGGTCAGGGTGAAACAATATGACTCCTCTGTATACAAACAAGCCTCAAAACTGTCAGGGGATGTTTGAGGAATCTCAAGGCAATCATGACCATAAGAGATGCCTGATCCAAACGGATTCATTTGCATCAGACCCAGAAGCCCTGTGGAGAAACATTTGAACTTAGTTCCAATTGTACAGATCTAGCGAATGGACTAACAGGTTCTAGAAGGGGACCGGGAAAAGAGAGAATGGGCATCTGAGAGAGAAGTAAGAACAGCAGAATGGGTTGGAACAGCAAAGTCTGCTGACTAAAGAGGTGGCGATGCAGGCTACCGTGCCAGGTTGTGCACTGCAGGAAGAGGAGGGGCAGGATGGAAAGGAAATAACCATGTCACTTGGGGCCCGACCCTCCCTTGTGGCAAACCCTTCTGGGCATAGGAACCAACAGCATTGTTCTGCTAACAGCAAAGAGAAACAGGAGCCACGAAGGTGATGGAGTTAGGAGTCATATAGAGGTTACCAGCAGAACGAGAGTGAGCAAACCAAGGATATCAGATAAACATTAGTCAAGAGAGAGAAAGACTGAAGAGCCTCAGATACCATTTCCACATAGTTACTTAGAAGGAATACCTGGAGGGGGTGGGGAGCAGGGGGTTGATGTACTGTCAGAACAAAACAAAAACAAAACAAACAAATAAGAAAAGCTGAACATTTTGCTAATCAAGAGGAAGGGAATCCCCGATCAGTATTATCTGGGGTGCTGCTGGTAAAATCTAGGAAATATCCATTATAGGTCAAAGAGTTAAAACTAGATGTCATAGCTTTATGATGGGTAGGCTAGTTTTAAGTGGCACCATCCCTCCGTATGACCATTACATTTAAAGACACTAAGCTGATAATTGTTGATAATCTTTTAAAAAGATCACATAATTGCTGAAACCGGTTTGGGTCAGTGGATAGAGCAACGGCCTGCAGACTGAAGGGTCCCGGGTTTGATTCCAGTCAAGGGCATGTGCCTTGGTTGTGGGCACATTCCCAGTGGGAGGTGTGCAAGAGGCAGCTGATTGATGTTTCTCTCTCATCGATGTTTCTAACTCTCTGTCCCTCTTTCTTCCTTTCTGTAAAAAATCAATAAAATATAAATAAATAAATAAATAAATAAATAAGATCACATAATTGGATTGACAGAGAGGTACAGTAGGAGAGATCTTAGTATAATTTCATTACTAAAAATGAATATAAGAAAATATTCTTTTATATAACAGTTATTTGCTAGATCACTTATCTACTATAAATATATAATTAATAACTGGCAAATGATAAGTAGGCATTTCTTACATAGTAATGTGTCACGGTAAATGTTTTGAATTATTAGTTTGTACATAGATTCATTTTCAGTCAGTATTTGGGCTGCTTCCAAATTCACTGGTTTTTCTAGCACTGGATTAGAAAGCATAACCTATAAGAAAATAGAAGGGACATAGTTTTTTTAAAGTAAAATTTTTTTCAAAACAAAAAGAGCAACCAATACATACAACATTCAAGAAGCATTTATTAAATGCCTACAATATATCTATCCAAAGATGAAACAAACACAAGTAGACAGGGTTCCTACTCTCAAAAAACTCTTGTTCTTGTCTTCTTTGTTAATTTTATTTTTCAATTACAGTTGACATTTAATGAAAGCATATGTTTGGGTAAGGATTAAAAAAAAAAGAAAAAGAAACTACTATAGATACCAAATTAATCATTTGATAGTGCAATCTTTCCCAAAGTGTGGTACATATACCCCCAGAGGTACAGAAAAGTTTGGTGGGGGTACGTGTCGCACTGGAGTTTGGTGGGGATATGCAATGCACCATGCTTAGCTGCGCCTAATTCTACGTCCTCATGAGTATGAGGGGTACTCAGCGTTACGAAAATTATAGAAGGGGTACACATATGTCAAAAGTTTGGGAAACACTGATAAAGGAATAATGAAATGAACATAAGCCTTAATACGTAATTCTGTTTTATCTGTTATCCACATATACTCTCATGTATAAATGTAAAGTTTTATTTTTTTCATTTTTAAATATATTTTTATTGTTGCTAATATTATAGATATATTCCCATTTTAAATTTTTAATTTTTAATGGAAATGTTTTAATATTTTCTAATGTTTAGTTCCCTTTATACATAAATCCAATTTAAATTTATGTGATAGGAAGGACTAAGTTATAGGAAGTAACTTGTGACTTGTTTTGATTCTAATGTTTGGCTCATGAATGTACAGTAAAAAACCAAGATAAAATTCAATAAATGGTACTAGGAAAGAGAGAAGCATTGATGTGAGGGAGAAACATCCATCTGTTGCTTCCTGTATCACCTCAACCAGGGATTGAACCAGCAACCTAGGTATGTGCCCTGAATAGGAATCGAACCTGAAATTCCACAAGGTATCATGCAGGTCCTTACTTGGACCCTTATATCTCAAAGGCAGCAAAGGCATGAAAAATCCTTCTTTTGCCCAGCCAGTGTGGCTCAATTGGTTGAGCACCAATCCATAAATCAAGAGGGCACACTGGTTTGATTCCCAGTAGGGGCATGTGCCCAGATCCAGGCTCAATTCCCTGTGGGGGGCATGCAGGAAGCAGCTAATCAATGTTTTTCTCTCATTGATGTTTCTATTTCTCTATCACTCACTCTTCCTCTCTCTCTAAAAGTTAGTAAACACATATTTCTAAAAAACTGTACTCATGCTTAAAATTTCTCTGCTGTCCCTTTCTGCCACATCCCTTCTTCTTTTTTTTTTATATTCCTATGAGTGATTCTTCCGCCTTCTTCTTCTATCATTAAGGGTTCATGTGATTACTTTGTGTCCCCCTGCATCATTCAGATAACCTTCTGATTTCAAGGTCAATTGATTAGTAACTTTCAATCCATCTGAAAAGTCATTTCACAGCAATACCTAGATTGTTTGAGTAACCAGAGAATGGGAGACTAATGGGATTCCTTTAAAATTCTGCCTATTCTATATAAAGAAAGCCTAATATGCTAAGTGTCCAATCATTCATTCAACTAATCAAAGTGTAATATGCTAATGATATGCTAAGGCCTCTCAACCACTCGCTATGATGTGCACTGACCACTAGGGGGCGATACCCAGACCAGTAGGTTAGCTTGCTGCTGGAGTCTGGCCAATCAGGACTTAGCAAGACAGGCCAGACATGCCCTGGAGCCCTCCTGCGGTCCCTCCCAGGCTGGCCAACCTCCTATGTCCCTCTCTGGTCCTGATTGTACACCAGTGGGATCCCATGGCCTGCCCTGCACCCTCTTACAATCTGGGACGCCATGGGGGGTGTCAGAGAGACAGTTTTGGCTCCATCCTGTAGGCCAGGCTGAGGGACCCCACTGGTGCTCGAATTAATGCACCAGGCCTCTAGTATTAATATATGCACATCTGGACCAGTAGTAACCAAAATTTAATAGTTCTGCTAAACCATGATTGTTTTACCTGTTACCTCAAAGTTAATATTAGCCTAAATTGCAAATACTTATTCAATAGTTTAGTATTTAGAATATTATAACATGAAAACTATTTAATACAATGTAGCCAAAATATATAACTAACAGAACACCTAAGTGTAGACACAGATCAAAGTGGGTAATTGTAACTCAAGAGTCATGAAAATGATGGCAATCTTTCACTAATGAAAGCAATAACTTGACATCTGATATTTCAAAAGCAGTAAGAATTTTCTGCTATTTGAGTATTCCTATTTGGAAACACATTTGAACTACATTTCCAAAAATATTATAATTGCTTAAATCAGGATTCATTGTGGATTGCACTATACCTTTCAAAGTGGGTGGGAAGCAGGTGAAACTTATCTACCAGAGCAAGCTTTAGGCCTTTGACTGGAAAGATAATTTTACTCAGAGAGGAACATCTGGTAAAGTTTATTCAATAGTCTTCACATTGACACTGCGCCTAAGACCTTTTCACATAATGTGTACACATGCTACTAAGTCTACTTAATGATTTTTAAGAACTGGAATATAAGGAGTATATTAAAATGCATAAATCAGAAACCCTGCTAGACTGGTAAAAAATAAAAATCCAACTTTTAAATTAGCCATGTGATGGTATAAAATAACAGACAAAGCTCTGCAGAGGATAAGTTCGAATATCTGAAGCATCAGTAAACAACTTCACCAGTAAGCATATTTTTTAATATCCAATTAATTAAAGCCCAGAAATTAATTCATTCTGTGGATGGGTGTTGGTAACTACCTTTGCGCCATATATGGAAGTATAAAAAAAATTAGGATTATAAAACATTTAGGAGATGATAAATATATTGGGGTATTTCAAGTAGCACTCCCCCCCCCTTTTTAAATAAGGTTTTCTATTGATTTTTTTTAGAAGAGAGGAAGAGGGATAGAGAGATGGAAACATTGATGATTGAGGGGATGCCTCCTGCATGCACCCTACTAGGGATTGAGCCCACAACCCGGACATATGCTCTGACTGGGAACTGAATTAGTGACATCTTGGTTCCTGGGTCGACGCTTAATCACCAGCCAGGCAAGTATCACTCCTTTGAATAACAATGTGATCATTTTAAATGTCTCACCTATTATTCAAAGGAAAATAATCATAAATTATGGCCTATACTTATACTGTTCATTACAGTAGTCTCTAGTCACACGTGACAATTTGAACTACTTAAATAAAATAAAAAACTCAGTTCCTCATGACACTAGCCACTTTGCAAGTGCTCAGTAACCACATGTGACTAGTGGCTACTGTATTGGACAGCAAGAATCATGGACATCTCCATCCATACAGAAAGTTCTATTGGGCCATACTGACCTTGAAAGGACTATTAAATAGCTATCAAAATATTAACTGTGGTAATATGGAAGTTACTTGAGATAAAATGTTAAGTGAAAAGGAAATAGGCTATATAACTAATACATGTATGTCATTATTGCAACCATGTAAAAATTCAGGTTTCTTCCTTCCTTCTTGTTACTTAGTACCTACTAAATGTCAGCATTGCCCTGGATCTTGGGGTGCGGTGGAGGGGGGAGCAGTCAAAGATGAATGAGACCTGTTCCCTGACCTTGAGGAGCTTGTAGTCCAATAAAGGAAGGCAGATAAGGAAATAGTATGTGCATTACAGCATCGTAGAGATCTAATAGAAACTTGCTAGGGACAAAGGAAGTCCCTCAAAATCCAAAGCCATCAATTCCACCAAGGAAAGGGATTCAAAAAAGACATTCCAGAGGAGCATTTACTTGACCTGACTTCATAATATGAGCAGTTGCTAGCCAGACAGACTGAGAAAGAGGAGAAACTGGGTTGTCAGTCAGAGAACAGGCCTGAGCACTTTTTAAGGTCCAACTTAAGTTTGTGCCTTTTGAGTTTAGAACTCCAAATGCTTCTAAGTCTGAATTGAACCAAGCACTGGGAGTGAAGGAAGGCATGAAGATGTAATAGGAGTGGGTGGCCCAGTATTTTAAGGACCAGGTGTGAGGAGAAGTAAATCATTTGTCAGGCAACAGAACTGGGCTTAACCCTTAGTGAATATGAAACTGAAAGACTTTAAACAGAAAAATAGGAGAAAAGATCAGAAGAAAATACTAATAACAGTAGGATTAGGGTTTTTCTTTATGATGATCAGCAATTTTCCTTTCTTTTCCACTGTCTTAAAAACTTTTGCAATATAGGCATATTTATTTTATAAATCTGTTTGAAAAAAAAAAAAACTTCGTCATCTACTAGCTTCCTATGATGTATTTCCATGACAACACTTGTCACTTTGCATTAATGCTTAAAAGTAAGGACAATTGTAAAATTAACTAACTTTTAATGAGTTATTTTCTTAGACCACACATGGTTCCATGTATTTTACATGTATTAATTAATTTATTAAATCTATGAGGTAGCTACTACCCTGTTTCCCCGAAAATAAGACAGTGTCTTATATTAATTTTTGCTCCCAAAGATGTGCTAGGTCTTATTTTCAGGGGATGTCTTATTTTTCCATGAAGAAGAATATGGTACACATTTATTGTTAAATGAAAATAAAGGAAATTTATTACCTGTATACGGTACAGTAGTACGGTAGTTGTCAACACAAACCCGACAAACTGTGAATCCTATAGTATCAAGAATTTACTCATTTATTCAATGACAATCATGTCATCATCTTCTGGAACATCATCATAATAATCCAATTCCTGAATTTCCTGGTGAATTTCTTGTGACTCCATTTCTTTCAGAATCAGTGGACCAAATCTCTCATGTTTAGCCTGGGGGGGGCCTTATTTTTGGGGGATGTCTTATATTTCACTCAGAAGGAGACCTGTAAGTAGGTCTTATTTTCGGAGGATGTCTGATTTTCAGGGAAACACGGTAACAGATCCACTTCACTTATGAAGAAATTGAGATATTTGGAAGTGAAGAAACTTGTCCAATAGTACAAATGAGTATGTGGCAAAAACAATCTAATCTCAGAGCCCCAAATTTACCTTCTATTAAATTACTCAGCAATTCAGAATTTTCACCATTTCATTCTAGTTTGCCCTCCCTCATTCCATTCCGGGACCATTTGGTTTTCTGTTCTGAAGGCAGATCCTAGTTTGAAGAGGTAGATAGGAATATGACCCAGTTTTAATAAAATTCAAAATATCAACCTCAGTTATCTGCATATCATGCTCATTCACTTCCTGAAAGTTTTTGCTCAAATGTCTCCCAGAACATGGCTAGCATACATGGATGTTCAATATACATTTCTAAGGTGAATGAATGAATGAATGAATGAGCGAATGAATGAATAAATGAATGAAAAATAGAATCTTTAAAAAGATTAAATTTTACTTGGTATATAGAGATGATTAGACAGAAAACTATTATTTTGTTTCATTTAAAAAAATAAGAAATGGGAGAAATAAAATTTTTATTATGATTCTACAACTGAGAAGATTCAATTATGCCATACTACTTTATTCTCCAAATATTTCAGATAATCAAATTCCAGATATTAATGATGAGCTGGATAAAAGTAGTCAAAGCAAATGACATGGAAGGCTTTTACTTTGGCATGGATGAGAAAGGAGGCTTCCTGAGGGTCAAGAATAACACCACACCAAGGCATGCTGCTAAGGACCATGGATCCAAGAAGTAAAGGCAGCATGCTAGAAACAGGCTTCTTCCGGAGGGGAGAAGGAAATCCCTGGTTTAATTGTTCACTGGATGAACAAGCGAAACAGAAATAGACTCATAGACACAGAGGACATTTTGGTGGTTGCCAGATGGGAGGGGGTTGGGGACTGGGTGGAAAAGATGAAGGATGAAGAAATACAAATTTGTTGTTACAGAGTACTCATGGGGAAATAAAGTACAGCATACGGAATATAGTCAATAATATCCTAACAACTACTTATGGCGTCAGAGAGCTAACATTTATCAGATGATCACTTGGTAAGTTTTATAATGTCTAATCACTGGGGCATATGTACACCTAAAACTAATGTAATATTGTATGCCAACTGTAATTGAACAATAAGAAATTATTATTATTATTATTTTTTTTAAGAAAGCATAGCCGAAGCCGGTTTGGTTCAGTGGATAGAGCATCCCAGGTTCGATTCCGGTCTGGGGCATGTACCTTGGTTGCAGGCACAGCTCCAGTAGGGGGTGTGCAAGAGGCAGCTGATCGATGTTTCTCTCTCATCGATGTTTCAAACTCTCTGTCCCTCTCTCTTCCTCTCTGTAAAAAATCAATAATATATATATTAAAAAGAAGAAGAAGAAGAAGAAGAAGAAGAAGAAGAAGAAGAAGAAGAAGAAGAAGAAGAAGAAGAAAAAGAAGAAGAAGAAGAAGAAGAAGAAGAAGAAGAAGAAGAAGAAGAAGAAGAAGAAGAAGAAGAAGAAGAAGAAGAAGAAGAAAGCGTATAAAAGAGCAACTGGCTAGCACTGTCAGAAACAAAAGGTAAAACTGAGCACTTTATGTTTTGGTCACTCGATTCACTTATCTGAAGAAGGCAGGTTCATGAATGAGAAAATATCTAAAGGCCTTCAATACTATGAAGTAAAATTAGGAACTGAAAGAAAACTTAAGGCTATATTTCTAGAATTAAAACCATCCATGCAATTCTTTACTTCTTGTATAAAATATGTATTCTTTGGTTGTCAATTTAAAATAAGTCATTATAATTAAGTTCCGTTTTTATAGTTTTGATATAGAAATGTTATTGATTTAAATAAGCTTACTTGAGTCTTTCAAACATTTAAATATGCATTACATATTTTATTTCTTATATTTTGAATAACTGAGATCATTAAAAGAACTAAAGAGGCATATATGTTAATCTCTTCTTACCTGGAGGGTGAGTAAGATGCTGCTCAATGTATAGCTTGTTTTCCACTTACGAGGGTTGTCCAAAAAATCTATACAGGGTTGACCAGTATTTTGGTCTACTGTATAAAAATAATACATTAATAGTGATAATACATTAATATATATATTAAAATAAAATTATTATTTAAAGGTTATAAACCCAAAATCTGATAGGCAAAGTTAGAAAGCAAATGATAAAGCAGAAAAATTATGTGCAATGAATATGCCAGTTAATACAGTATAACTATTAAAAGCATGGACTTTCAGCCCTGGCTAGTGTTGCTCAGTTGGGCTTTATTCAGTGCACTAGAAATTTGCTGTTTCAATTCCTGGTCAAGGCACATGCCAGGGTTGTGGGCTCAGCCCAGTAGGAGTGTGTAGGAGGCAGCCAATTACTGTTTCCCTATCACATAAAGCTCTCTCTCTCTCTCTCTCTCTCTCTCTCTCTCTCTCTCTCTCTCTCTCTCTCTCCCCCTCCCTCCCTCCTTCCTTCCCTCCCTCTCTCTCTCTCTCCCTCCCTTCTCTCTCTCTCTCTCTCTCTCTCTCTCTCTCTCTCTCTCTCTCTCTCTCTCTGTCTCTGTCTCTCTCTCTCTCTCTTTTTCTCTCTTCCTCTCAAAACCCAACAAAAGCTTATCCTCAAATGAGGACTCAAAAAAAAAAGAATCTAGTATGTATTAAAACTGTTGTATGTTAAAAGTTAAATTATGATTCAATGGTGAAAGAAAACGTAAAAAATGGTATAAAATGTGTTGTTGCAAAAATACTCATTGTCCTTTAAGATCTACTCTTCCTCTCTTCCATTTCCTCTCTGCAACAAGACTATACATGCCCCAATTTCCATTACCCTACACTGTTTAGATGAATACCTGGTTGCTCAGACTATTTTCTCCCGCCTCCCCTCTAGCAAGAAGTCCTATGACTAAGTTTTAATTATGGGATATCAGCAGAAGTAAAGTATATAACTTCTGGATCATATTTTCTTAAGGATATTGTTTTGCTTTCTCCTTCCCCCTCCCCAATGGCTGGAAATGGTGATAACCAGTAAATCTTTAGATCCAGAAACAGAAGTCATAGATTGAGGATGGCAAAATCTCCCTGTCAACTATGTTCTATTATGTGTTGATTGGAAAGATATACGGAAGTTCGGCCTCTACACTGATATAGTTAATTAACTCAACCTATATTTTTTAAAAAAAAGAATATAATTAAATATGCAAAACAAAACTATAGAATAACCCGAAGAAATTTAAAATAATTTGATTGTGTTTTGAAAAGAACTTCTAAACTTAAAGATAACTGTAAAAATCTCAAAAGACAAGACTAATAAATATGACCATATAAAAAAATCCCAGATATAAAAAAAACCCCAGCACCAATAAAATTTAAAAATGACAAATGGAGAAAAATATTTGCAACATCTACAACAATGTGATAACATTTTAAATAAGCCAGACAATTCAAGAAATCAAAAGCACAATAAAGATCTGAATGTAAAAAAATGTTAAACTCAAAAATATTCAAAAGAAGTGCAAATTAAAATCTCAGATTCTTATTAAATTGTCAAAAAAATATTTCTCCAAAGTTACAATGTCCAGAATTGGAGAGTGGTAAATATGAACTTTATATGTGCTTCCTGGTGGGATTACAAATAACATCAGTGAAAAGCAACTAGGTTGTATGTATCTAAAAACTTAGAACTGAACACACAGTTTTTGGTGGATGGGGGCTAATAACATTCCTCACCTCCAAGGTCTGTATATAATAAATAGGGTGTTAAAAGATGCAAGTGGAAAGTATCAACTTCATGATAAGTAAGCCTGAAATGGAGAATGCTGATCAATGCTTTAGTCAAGTTCCACAGAAGCACACCCTGATTTGTACTTAACCCCTCAAAGGGAGGCCTGCCTAGGTTTCCTGCCTGAAGAAACAGAGACAGTACCCATTCTAAGGTCCGGCTTATTGGAAGGGAAGTTTTGAGAAAGTGCTGAGCCACACATGCTCAAATCTATCTCAGATCTCCCCAATTAGATAAGTCATTCCTCCTCCTGGGAGGGGTCAGGGAGAGAAAGAACAACCACAAGTTTTCCCACATTTCCTCCTCTTCTACATAAAAACGCAACAGAATTTTGTGTATTCATTTTGTATGCTGCAAATTTGTTTATTAGTTCCAACAGTTTCTGAGAGGGGCCTTTATTAATATATTTTTTTAAATATAAACAATATCAGACCATGTGTAAATGACAGTTTTACTTCTTCCTTTTTAATGTGGATGTCTTTTATTTCTTTTTCTCACATAATTGCTTTGGCTAAACTTTTAATACTATGTTGTATAAAAGTAGTGAGAGTGGGCATCTTTGTCTTGCTCCTAAATTTACTTTGTGTATTTTAATGTAATTTTTCCAACCACATTATTGATTTTAAAATAAAAACCTATTTTTTAAAAATTAAATTTATGATACAGAATTAGTTGTGTGCATTTGTCATTATTTGCTTAAAATAAACAGTGAGAGGACTGGAATTTTTGCAATATTTCCTCTAGCAAGTGTTTGTTTATAGTTTTTGCCCATTTTCCTATTGCTTTATGTTTTTTCTTGATTTACATGTATTCTTTATGTTACAGATATTCTGTTTTATGTGTTGCAAATATTTCCCTTCACTTTGAAAATCAATATATGTTGTCTCTGTTAATAATGTTATTGGCTGTAGTTTTGAGAAGTTTGTGTGGTTTAGTGTGTCATGCTTTTTCCATGCTTTTGTCCCTATCACATTTAGAAAGCCCTTCTTCACCAGGTACACAAAAAGTTCTATTAAATTTCCTTCTTTTTAGTATTTAAAATTTTTAGTTTTTTCTTTTTAACAATCAGAAGTAGCAATCTAATGTAATTTTATCTAAAATGTTAATTTATCAGTGTATCATATTTTATAACAAAAATTAGCCCAACAAAAATACTGAACAATGTAGACATTAAAAATGATCTTTTGAAGAATGTTCAATAATGCAGCCATAAGCTTATGTAAGATTAAGTGGAAAAAAATGGTTGTAAAACTTTATATCTAATACCTCAACTATGTGAAAAAAATATATAGAGAAAAGGAAATAGATTTAATTAAATGTTGAGAGTAATATCTCTTTGAATTAGGATTCAAAGTGATATTTTTTTCTTTTTATGTTTTCTCCAATAAACATGTTTACTTTTATAATCATAACATAGTTGTTATTACATTAAAAAGAAACATTATTAAATACTAATACAGAACAAAGTTCCTGATGATAAAAATCTCATTTTGTCCTTACCATTTGGATGAAAAGGAATGGTTTTAAATTTCACAACTGGAGGGGCGAGATTATATTCTGGTGTAAAAGTTATTGTCAGTTGGAGTAATATTCCTAGAATATAAAAATAAATACTTTTACTAAGGTGTCATGTTGTACTGGTTAACTCTAACCTGATTAACCTGATTTACAATAAAGTTTCTTATTATAGTTTAGCCGCCCAAGTTTCCTTGAGTTTTATTCTTAAGTAAATTGGATCATAGGGTGCATAGACTCCTCTAAATAGTTTAATAGACTCCTCAAAATTTAATCCCACTATTTTATCAGCCTGTTTTCTATCCACTAACTGTCCCCCTAAAACTTGTCCCATTCACTGTGAATCTCATATTGACTAAACTCACTGTTTCAGATCCTGGTGCACCTTCTCTTTTTATTCTGCTTGAATAAATCTGTTTATTCTGCCTGAATTTCCTTCCCCTCCATTCCTTCTAAACCTGGCAAACTCTTATGCATTCTTCTTCTTTTTTAAAAAAATGGATTTTAGAGAGAGGAAAGGAAAATGAGAGTATGTGTGAGAGAGAAGCATTGATGTGAAAGAGAAACATCAATCAGTTGCATCCAGCCTTGTTACATTCAGTTACATGTGCCTTGACTGGAGATGGATCCATTGATTTTTAGACAGTGGAAAGGAGGGGAGATGGGGAAAAGAAAGAAAGAGAAACATGGATGTGAGAGAGACACATCAATTGGTTGCCTCCTCTTGCACCATGACTAGGGCCAGGGATTGAATCTGCAATTGAGATATGTGCCCTTGACTGGGAATTGAACTGAAGAAACTTTGGTCCAATACTCTAATCATTGAAAAAACTGGCCAGGGCAGAAAGCCATTCTTGACTCTACAAGCAAAATTATCTAATGAATGCCACCTTAGCATTCTGTTGGAAATCCTGATAGCACATGTTGTATTTTAATTATCCACTTTACATATTGTTCTCCCCTATCTTACTCAGCAAATCTAGTTTATTAATCCACAATTGAAAGAGTGTATGATAACTAAAGTTTATAATAGCCTGGTCTTCTTCAGACTTTGATATCTGGAAATTTTGGGAAGAATCATAGAAAATAAAAATGAGAAATAATTGTGGAATTTTGATGCCAAAAGGAATTTTGATACTATTTTCTGATTTCATGGAAGACAGTTAGAAGATATTTTCAACTTATGCTTTACTAGAGGCCCGGTGCACAGGGGTGGGGAGGGGTGTCCCTCAGCCAAGTCTGCATCCTCTCCAATCTGGGACCTCTCAAAGGATGTCTGATTATCCCCATTGGGATCGGGTCTAAACGGGCAGTTGGACAGCCCTCTCACAATCCAGGACTGCTGGCTCCCAACTGCCCGCCTGCCTGCCTTCCTGATTGCCCCTAACCTTTTCTGCTTGCCAACCTGATCACCCCCTAACCACTCCCATGCCAGCCTGGTTGATGTCTAATTGCTCCCCTTCCAGCCTGTTTGCTCCCAACTTCCCTCCTCTGCCAGCCTGGTCACTCCTAACTGCTCTCCCCTGCAGGGTTGATCATCTCCAACTACCCTCCCTTGCAGACCTGGTCCCTCTCAACTGCCCTCCCTTGCAGGTCTGTTTGCCTCCAAACTGCCCTCCTCTGCTGGCCATCTTGTGTCCACATAGGGGCAGGATCTTTGACCACATGGGGGAAGCCATATAGTGTGTTGGAGTGATGGTCAATCTGCATATTACTCTTTTATTAAATAGGATTATGCCTGTTTCTTAAACAATGTAGTAACATTAAGATTTGGCATAAAGAAAAATTCAAACCCAACATTTCTATTTAGGTTGACAAATGGCAAAAATTAAGCCATGCAATGAAAAAATAACATGTGAATACTTTCAGAACTCTAGACAAGTTATATAATGCAACCTTCTTTTGCACATAAAGAAGATGGACTAATAATGGCATAAAGGCTTTTTAAAAAGTAGATTGGTTTTTGAAAATACATACCTTGCCAAATTGTATCCTTTAGACCTTCAATACTAGCTTCCCATGTCATCTGATCTTCACTTACAGGAAAGGCAACAATACCCTTTAATTAAAAAAGAAATCAAAGCAGTAAAAAAGATTAAATATTTATTGCAGCTTTGAAAATCAGTTATCAGGTTACAATGAATTCTAAAAACTTTACATTTTCTTTTCCTGATGAATTTATTTATATGCTGCTTTGGGGAGATGTTATATTTTGTGTCATTACCTAGCTGTTAAGGTGGATTCCACACAATAATTAAAAAATAATACTACAAGAACAAACTGTGTCCAGTACTCACAAATGTAAACCTAGTTTTGACCCACCCTGTATTTCAGAGAAAACTTATCAATTATGCTGGGAAAGACTCCTAAATATACTCACTAAATATTTCTGAGCAACCACATAGTTATTCAGTATGTTTGGTGCTACTCTGGATAAACACTGTAAGATATCTTTATTATCTACATTTTACCTCATAATAGACAAACATATAAATTGACCGTATCTCTGCTATGCCACCAGCCAATCAAGAGTGATATGCAAATTAACCAAAAAAGATGGCCGTTAATTTGCATACACAGGCACTGAGTGACTGGGGCAGGATGCTTGCATTCTGCTGCATCCCCATCTCTCAGGGCCTCTAGGCAGCATGGGAAGGCAGGGCTGGAACAGAAAGAGGCAGCTCGGGGGCCTGAGGGGAAAGGGGTTGGGCCGGAGTGGAAAGGAGCTGCCAGCAGCCAGGGAAAGGAAAGCCCATTCTAGCACGAAACTTCTTGCATCGGGCTTCTAGTTATCTATAATTACATATCATTTCTCCTTCATGGAATTGTCCTTCCAACAGAGAACCACAAAGTTCAGGTAGAGTGGAAACAATATGAAAATAACTTCATTGGTGTCATGTGGAGCAAAGCCTTCCTCTGTGTTAAAATTATAAGGGAAAGGCATCTATGTGCTGTGACAAGTTAGCAAAAATTGCACCATACACAGGTAGTAGAGCACAAGACCCCTGAGCAAGAGATTGCTCAGTTGGTTAGAGCTTCGGCCAGATACGCCAAGGTTGCTGGCTCGATCTCCTGTCAGGACCCATAAAAATGTACAAATGAATGTACAAATCAATAGAAGAACAAATCAGTCTCCCCCCCACCCCCTTCCTCTGAAATCAATAAACAAACATTTTTTAAAAGGAATCAACCAATGAATGCATCAATAAGTGAAACCACAAATCAGTGTTGCTTCCTCTCTCAAATCAATAAACAAAACAAAACGTAAGAGCAATTCTGAGGCTAAAATATTTACTGAACCTTTTTGAGGCGTAGGTTTCTGATAGGTAAAACAAAACACTCCTTGTAGTATTGTGATTAGTGAGAGCAACCTTTTACTTGCTAGTCACTTACAACATGATAGACCCTGCTATTCAGGGCTTAAGTCCTCATACCTTATTCAGCACAATGTGCTCAATATTGCTAACTAGTACCATCATTATGAAATACATTGTGATAGTAAGATAGATTGGTTAAACAGCAGTACTGCAATGGTGAATTCGTTTGAACTTTATTATGCTGTATGAGTAAACACAGATGAAGCTGCTTTATACAAGCTCTGCCCCAGGGAAACCCATCCCTCCGGGTCCCCAGCACTCACCTTATACTTGTTCTCTTCCAACTCCCTCAAGTCTCTTTGCAGCAAAAAGTAAGCCCTGCAGCACATGGTGAGGCAGCAGAGCCTGGCACTTGGCCCCACGCTCCCAAGCTTTCCAAGGCAGGTGTGTGAGGTTGCGAGTCACCCTCCCAAACTGGTTAACTGACGTCAGTCGAGTCAATTGCTTTCTAAAGCTGCAGAACGCCTTGTGCTCCCAAGATAAATGGCTTCTAAGATGGGCATGTAACAGGGACTTCCTTTTCTCCTCTGACTCCTCCAAACTAAGACTCCCAGCGGGCAAACCTGGGCACGCTCTTGAGAACCGTGCCTCACTGCAGGGCCAGCCCGCAGCCCGGCCTCCAGGCAAACTTGGACTAGCACCAGGGGCAAGCCCGGGTTGTTGGTGCATGAAGTGGGCGTGAGAGGCATAAGCTTAGGGTGGTGGTAGCCCGTTTTTCTCTTCACAGATGCAACTGGGATCAGTTTAGCTGCTAGACGCTAATCGGTTGCCAAGCAATAGGCTCCTTAGGAAAAGTATGGAGAGGGAGGTGGGAGCTTGACCGCCTCTCATCCAATCAGCGACAGGACACAGACCTTTATAACCCGCCTCCGGAGCCAATCGGCCAATCGTTTCGTTTCACCTGGAAAGGCCAATGAGATTCGTCGTCAAGGCCCCGCCCCCACCTCGCTGAGTTCAGCCAGGTGGACTCTACCTACCTCATTAGTGTGTAGGGTCCGGGTGAAGTCCTGAGGTGCAACCCGTAAAAGCCCTCATTCAAATCCCTCTCCAAATTAATGCTTTCTCATTCTTTGACTATCAGAAACGATCAGGTAATAAGTGACCAGTAGGTACAGGTGTATTCATAACAATATCTTAACATATGGCAAGTTAACATTCTTAATCCGTTTAGCATATACTATGTCCTCGAATCCTACAGTTGCCCTACAAGAAGGCTCCAGAAACAGAGCACTACTAGTAATTTCTCAGATTCCCATTAAAAAAAAAATATATATATATATATATATATATATATATATATATATATATATATAATTGATTTTTTTACAGAGAGGAAGGGAGAAGGATAGAGAGTTAGAAACATCAATCAGCTGCCTCCTGCACACCACCTCTCATTGGGGATGTGCCTGCAACCAAAGTATATGCCCTTGACCGGAATCGAACCTTTCAGTTCGCAGGCCAATGCTCTATCCACTAAGCCAAACCAGTCAGGGCTCAGATCCCCATTTCTTGCCAAAGTTTTGGGTTGTATCCCAGCATATCTACGTTTTCATAGCCTACATAGCCCTGAAGAAGTTACTTAGCCTCCTGTACTTATATTTTCTCATCTATTAATATGCATTCTATACCTATCTCTCAGGATTATTATGAGGATTAAAAAAATAAGGCTGCCAAGCACTCAATCATTGCCAAGAGTAAGTGATAGTGTACACCAACACTTACCGCGTGCTGGGCACACTGTTCTAAACATTTAACAGGCATTAATTTGATTCTCAATCCTAATTTTTACAATAAGGGAAACTGAGGCACAGAGATGCCACATAATTTGCCTTAGGTCACACAGCTGGAATGCAGTAGAGCCAGGATGCAAACTCCCCAGGACATGTAGCTCCAAAGACCATGTTTTTAACCACTAGGCAGCCCTGCCACACAAAGACCTTAATTTGGAGCTATCTAACCTTCTTTAATAAGGTATTGCTGCTCTCAATAGTTTTCTTTGTGCATCGATTGCTTTTTTAAAAAAAAGTATTTTTGGTGTATTTATTTTTGGCTGCATTTCTACCTGCTAATTTTCAGAGTCCCCTTTCAACTAAAATACTAATATAAACCCAAGAAAGCTGGACCACTGCGTATAAAATAGTGCCTGGCACAGAATAAAGGCCCAACTAAATGTGCATTATGTTTTGTCTTTTAAATTATAAATTTATTAACAAATCCGTCTGACTTCTGTAACTTATTAATGTAATTAGAGCCACTCTGTATGTGGTTCAAAAATATCAACTACTAAATATTTTGATATTAACTTTTATTACTTTTTGTAACTTCAAGGGGAGAGTAGATTAATTTGAGTCCTACTAGATGCCTTTTGGGGTTTTTACTCACAGTCTTTCCCCCTAACAATAGGCCTAGAGGATTGAAAAGAGAAAGGTGGCATTGCATTGCTTATGGTAGGCAGCATTCTGAGATGATCTCTGAGATCTCCAGCCCCTGCATAAACTTCAGGACAAATGATGGGTTTGGGGTGAGCCTGACCTAATCAGATGAGCCTGAAATGAGACCGGCCTCTTCCTGAAGTCAGGAACTCACTAAAGTGTGAAAAGGATTCTATGTGAGGGGGATGCTCTGTTGCTCCCTTTGCAAATGAAGGGGGCCACATGGCAAGGTGGGTGGGCAGGTTCTTAGAGGTGAGAGTGGCGGCTGGCTGACAGCCAGCAGGAGAATCAGGGCATCAGTGTTATAGCAATAAGCAACTGAATTCTGCCACAACCATGAGAGCTTGGCGGAGAATCTGAACTCCAGTTCAGAATACAACCTAGCCATTACCTATTTTTTTAAAAAAATATATATTTTATTGATTTTTCACAGAGAGGAAGAGAGAGGGAGAGAGAGGGAGAGAGAGGGAGAGAGAGTCAGAAACATTGATGAGAGAAAATCATCAATCAGTTGCCTCTTGCACACCCCTACTGGGGATGTGCCCACAACCAAGGTACATGCCCTTGACCTGGGAATCAAACCTGGGACCCTTCAGTCCCCAGGCTGACGCTCTATCCACTGAGCCAAACTGGTTTCGGCTAGCCATCACCTATTGAGGCCTGGGCAGAACATTGAGTCATGCTGGACCCATATTGTTTTGAAATAGTAAGTTTGTGGCATTCTGTTAGTTAGCAATAGCTATCTAATACAACTTCTGCCTAGGATGAGCAGCTACTGACCAAGACAAAACATGTGGCAAAGGTCAATCACTCTCCGAAACCGGTTTGGCTCAGTGGTAGAGTGTCGGTCTGCGGACTGAAAGGTCCCAGGTTCGATTCCGGTCAAGAGCATGTGCCTTGGTTGCGGGCACATCCCCAGTAGGGGGTGTGCAGGAAGCAGCTGATTGATGATTCTCTCTCATTGATGTTTCCAACTCTCTATTCCTCTCTCTTCTTCTCTGCAAAAAATCAATAAAAAATATATATATAAAAAAAAAGGTCAATCACTCACTGATTTAGCATAAAAAGCAGTTGAATCCAGTTAGTAGACATTAACATATGGCTTTACATGGGGTTAGGGGACAGGTTAGGGGACAAGATAGGCAGGGCATCCTAGAAAATGAAGTCTGAACTAAGGCTCATGGACAAACTTCCATTATCCTAGATGAGCAACTGAAAGTGTACTGGCTTAACATGGGTGAAGTTACGAAGGTCATCCCTCCAGTTCCCACCACCAAGCATACCCCTCCCCCTTCTTTCTTAAAAACAATCCTTCCCCTCAGGACTCGAACAGATGTTTTCATTTTACTTCAACTCCAAGACTGTTTTCCTCATCCACCAGGAATATGTACCAGTACAAAGTGTTAACCTTGTTTGGATTTGAACCCCCGTCCTCAAGAGCAAAAGAAGGCTGAGGATCGCCAAATGCCAGCTCAGCTGTGAGACGTGTTTTAAATCATATTTTGACGTATGTTACGCTGTTAACTAGAAAATGAAGTGCAGCACACATGCTTCTAGTAACTCCGGTTTCAAATCATATGATCCCTCCTTTGTCTTGAAGACCTTTTGATGTGCGTTCCCATATTGAGTTTCTCTGCTTTTAATAATCTTATGCTCCTTCCTCAATATAAATGTCAGGAAAAATTCTGAATGCTAATCTTCAAAGATCAAACAGGAAGAAAGAGGTGGGCAGCCTAGTTCAGCGACGTGAATTCCTGAAATTTCTCATTTAAAGTTTTTTATTTTCTCTTATAAAAGCCTAGGCTCCAAGAAATGCTTCATTGCCCTTTGTGAAGTTGAAGTGTAGCCTCCCTCACCCCCCAATTTCAGAGTTGTGTAAATTACAAAATAATTTGGTCTCTCCCTGCAAGGTACCTGTGATCAGTGTTTACATGCATATTTGCATCTACCTAACAGACAGGGCCTCTGAATCCATACACCCTGGCTTTTATTGCATCTTCTTGGCTTTAGCTATGGGGGACCAAGAGTCCAAGTTTGCCTGGGACTGAGTGCTTTCCTGGGATAAAGGACTTTCATTGTTAAAATTGGGATAGTCTCTGGCACACTGGCACAGTCCATCCCTCTAGCTTGGGCATCGAGGACCCTTTCAAGGTGGGAATTGTGTAGATAATTTGGCAAAAGCTGCTTCTTTGTTTTTGGACCTTGATGCCTAAAGGAACCTAGTTTGTTCTCTATTGCAGGCTCTGGTGCCCATCCCCCATAATCAAGGTTCTGAAAAATAATCCTCAGAATTCCTTTAGGAGAGGATCTGAGGGATGAGAAAATGCAAAGCCTGCCGTGGCACTTTACATATTTTAGGAGAATCAGGTCTCCTTTCATTGCATTCCTCACTTGGGAACAACAATCGTTGAAAGATATGCATTTGATAATTTCTAAGTACAACTGAGACCGTTAAGAGTGTGAGGGTTCATCAGTTTATAATGTTCTTTATTATCCATAAATGAGTGAGGTCATGTGGTGTTTCTCTTTCATTGACTGGCTTATTTCACTCAGCATGACGTTCTCCAGTTCCATCCAGGTTACTGCAAATGATGAGAATTCCTTTTTTATGGCAGCATAGTATTCCATTGTGTAGATATACCATAAACTGATGAACCAAAAGATAGATGTAGAGACAGTAAAGCAACAAGCAGACTGTCAAATTACAGCGGGGAGGGTAGGGAGATCTGGGGGAGATAAGAGATCAACTGAAGGACTTGTATACATGCATATAAGTACAACCAATGGACACAAAACTCTGGGGAGGGTGGGTATGTATGGGAGGGGCAATGGTAAAATATGTACACAGATAATAATTTAATAAAAAATAAAATTAAAAAAAAGAGTGTGAGGGTGTG